GGTAATTGAGGGCCTGGTGTGGCATAGTAGTTAAGAGTGCTGGAGAAGGAGTAGGGGGACCTGGGTTCGAATCCTCACTGTACCATAGAGCTTTGCTGGGTGACCATGGGCTAGTTACATGTACACTCTCAGCCTCATCTATTTCCCGTGGATATTTTGAGGATACAATGGAGGGGAGAAGAATGAACAAAGCTGTTTTGGGTCCCCACTGGGGAGAAGAGCAAGGTAAATAATAGGAAATAAAATATGGGGAAGGGGAAATCTAGCTCTTTGCAGGAGTGATCCTAAGCAGGTCTACTCAGAAGTAAGCATACGCCAAGGAAAATATTTTTAGAACCACAGTTTCCATCAACAATCATGATTTTGTCTTAGTATTATTTCCCTGATGTTTGTTTCTGGTTTGTAAACGCATTTCGAGAAGACCTTTCTTTTCCTCCCTGGAGAAGTATAAGGAATACTTAAAACAAAACTTAAGAGCTGGTGCCTTTGGAAGGCCAGCACTCTCTGGACATCTTCAGAAGGCACCGGAACCTCACAGCCGGTGAGAAAACGGCCTCCTCTCAGAGGTTTAAATAAGGTACTCTGCACACACTCATTGGCACCCTTGCCTGCTGGAAAAACAACAAAAACACAAAAAGGCTCTGTGCGTACATTCAGACGTTCCCAGCTTGAATACCAGACTGAGCTGCTCCGGGCGGGCACCGGAGGGGCAGTGCAGGCAGGGCCTCTTTTTCACGCACCTGCGGCCATTACGGGAGCCAAAGCGCAGAGGCGGCGACTCTCCGGCCCGAAAAGCGCGCGCTTGCGCTCTCCGTGGTGCTGCGGCGGCGGCTTTCGGTCTCCTGGGCAACCAAACGGCTCTCGCGGGAGCTCCTCCCTCACCCGCCCATTTCCCCGGGTCCCCGCGATTGCCGGCTACGTGTTGCGAGCGCGCGAGAAAGACTGAGTGTCGCGCGCGCACAGCTCGATTTCCACTTGCAAGGTGGATGTAGCTCTCCGTTGTGGATAGCCGTACAGGAACGTGCAAGCTGTCGAGCGACCCCCCCCCCTCCCGCGGAGAAAGGCCCTGAAGTAATTCTTTTTTTGTATCTGAAGAAGTGAGCGGCAACTCACGGAAGCGCCTACCCTGCCACATCTTTTGTTAGTCTTTAAGGTGCTACTGGACTCTCTTTTGTGTGTGTGTGGATATTGCGCGTGTGCATGTGCTCGCATGCCTGGAAGCCAATGGCGACTTCTGGCGACCCCCTAATGGGGCTAGGACGTTTCAGAGAGGAGGCATGATAGTCTGCCTCCGCATCCCGAGCCCAGGTATTCCTTGGAGGTCGCCCTTCCAAGTACTTGCCAGGGTTAGGCCTTACTTGGCTTCCGTGATCTGGCGGCCCTGGAGCAATTCTTAATTCACATTCGACACCACTGGATCTAACATTTAAACCCCATTGTTCAGTGCTACAGCATCTGCTTGGCGTGCAGATGGTCAGTCCCCAGGTTCTACTGGTAGCAGGAGCTCCTTTGCATATTAGGCCACACACCCCTAGTGTAGCCAATCCTCCAAGAGCTTACAGTAGCCCCAGTAAGAAGAGCTCTGTAAGCTCTTGGAGGATTGGCTACACTAGGGGTGTGTGGCCTAATATGCAAAGGAGCTCCTGCTACCAGTAGAGCCCACGAAGGACCAGGTAGCAGGCCTGTAGCCAGGATTTTTTTAAAAAAAATTGCACATAAAATTTTCTTGTGGAGTTGTGGATATAACATTCATATAAGAAGAGCAACATTACAGATAAACAGTTTAACATCTACTGTAGGCAGCTGAAGAAGTGTTTCAATTTTGACTATGTTGTTAGTGTCAAGACTAAAGTACATAAGCCTTTCTCTTAGTCATTCAGGACCAATTTGCACTTTAATACTTACAGGCATTGCGATGTCTTGTTGTGATGACAGCTATTGGTGTAGTATTTTTAGATATGCGTGGTTACGAGGTTTCAGATCAGAAGCGAAGTGGAATTCCATAAAGGGAAGCCGTTTCTTTGCAAAATTAGACGTTTTGGGATAGAGTTCTGAGTGGCGTAGATGATCTGTTATCTTCTCTAAGATTAGATGTTCCCAGTTTATTCAGCCAGCATGAGCTTATCAGCTTTCCATCTAGATGCAATAGATGTCTTAGCGGCCACTAGGAGACTAGTGATTAGATCCCGGAGAAGTGGTGGTATTTCTATTGCGTTCCATATGTCCAGAAACAATAAAGCCGGGTCAAACGGTATATCGCCGCTATTAATTAGTTTGATTTGAGCTAGTACATCGTGCCAGAACTTTTGAATGTGGACACATTGCCACCAGCAGTGTGTGAAGGTGCCAGCATTTCCACACTTCTTCCAGCATAAGCTGTAGCCAGGATTTTTTAATTTGGGAGCCTTTAAGTTGGGTGGGCACCAGTGTTCCCTCTAAGCTGAGTTAGTGTGAGCCAGCTCACAGTTTTTTGTCTTAGCTCAGGAAGGATGGCTCCAGAGCAAACTAATTTATGCAGTAGCCAAATCGCCGGCTCACAGCTTTAATGCCAGTAGCTCACAAAGCAGAATAATTGCTCACAAGACTCCACAGCTTAGAGGGAACATTGGTGGGCACCCTTGCACACACACCCCCAAGCAAGCGCCATAAATAAAATAAAAAATTGGAAGTCGGGTTGGGGGGGGGGGGAGGCCTTGGTGGTATGTCAGGGAGCCAAGCCCGGAGAGGTCCCATTGTAGCTATGGGTCTGCCAGGTAGGAGGTGATGTGAAAGACCTCTGGCCTGAGGCCCTGGAGAGCTGCTGCCAGTCTGAGTAGACAATACTGAACTTGATGGACCAAGGGTCTGATTCAGTATAAGGCAGCGTCATGTGTGTTTGTGTATGTTCAAGATCCTGGAACACCCCCACCCCCCATTTTCTCTTTAGGGAATACATTGGCTGTTTATCAGGTACATACAAGATGCACGCACCTTCACTGGAACCCTGCAGAGAGCTATTGAGCTGGTCTGCTGTAACTATGAGACTGAGGAAAGCTGAATTGTACATGTGCTCCGGAGTAATCCCATCAAAGAGCCAGTGTGGGGCAGCGTTGAGAGAGAAGGGGATTCCAATTCCCACTCCACACTATGAAGCCCACTAGGGAATCATGGGAGAGCTCTCTTAATCCAAGGTAGTTCACAGGTCTGTTATGAAGATGAAATGAGGAAGGAGAGAACTAAGCACAGCCCTTTGAGCTCCCTGGTAAAAGTGGACACACATGTACCCAAGTACACTGGAGAGGAGCTGTGTGCGGCATGCAGAAGGTCCCAGGTTCAATCCCCAGCATCTCCATTTGAAGGGATCAGGCAGCAGATGATGTGAAAGACCTGTGCCTGAGACCCTGGAGAGCAGCTACCAGTCTGGGTAGACAACACTGACCTTGATGGCCCAAGGGGGGGTCTGATTCAGTATAAGGCAGCTTGATGCACAGATCAAATCCATTACTTTCAAGTGTCACTCACTAAAGCCCCAATTCTCATGTGCTGTGCGGCCCAAGTTAGTGGCTTGCAATAGCCTCGTATTTTTATGTCCAAATCAGCATGCCCTGATGACTGACAGGGCAATGGGAATACCTTTTACACTCACGTGTGGTCAGCTAAGAGCAGATTAGAGTGGTCAAGCTTTTGGCAGAGTGTATCACCACAGGTGTGTGGCCTGGTTTAAACATGCTGACAAGATATCCCTGTGGAATACTCCTCCATCTACAGAGGAGTAGATGCTGTGCCGGCATGCTAATTAAGCACGCATAGTGGCTTCGGAGCAGTAGCAGCTCAGTTTGCACAAGTGATCACCAGCACCACATTTAACTCAGGTTTTGTGTGTGTGTGCATGCACGGGGGTGAACAGCTGGACAGTTGATTGCTTCTGTCTGCTGGGGGGGGGGAAACCCATGCATGTAATGGAATAAAGGTTGAACCCTTTTAAGATGCTATGCTGGTTTTCTACCAACATTGAGTTTAGACAGGAAAATAATTCAAAACGCCAACCACAAGTGGCACAACCCAGGAAAAAGAAAGCAGCTATAGTACTATAAGCAGAAGAAACAGAATCCCCCGTGTGCATATACAGTAATGCTTGTGCACACCTGCAAACCTCTTCAAGTCTCCAACCCAAGAAGGCAAAGACATTAAGATCTTTCCTGTTCCCTGAATCTTGGCGTACTGTCTCTATCCAGCATGGTGTAGTGGTTAAGAGTGGCGGACTCTAATCTGGTTTGATTCCCCACTCCTCCATGTGAAGCCTGCCGGGTGACCCTGGGCCAGTCACAGTTCTCTCAGAACTCGCTCAGCCCCACCTGCCTCCAAAGGTGCCTGGGGGGAGAGGAATGAAAGGCGATTTGTAAGCCACTTTGAGACTCCTTAAGGTAGAGAAAAGTGGGGTATAAAAACTTACTCTTCTTTTTCTTCCACCCTTCCTCCCTGGAGCCAAGAACTGCTTATCTGCCTTTTGGGGATAAGACCTTTCACTCTTTTCATGGAAAGTCTCTGGTAATTGCAGTTGTTAAGATTCTATTATTGCAAAATTAACACCTGAACGGCACACTAGGAGAAAAATAATCTGATTTTATATAAAGGAACTGCTTTGGTATACAAGTGAGAGAGAGAGAGAAAATAAGTTCCTATAAAACTTATGTACAGATTTCAAAATTCAGAGGTGAAATACAGACATTTTCCTTCAACATTTGCAGTAGGTACAAGGCTGAAGCTGTCTTCCTTAAAGTTCATACAATTTGAGCTGCGTTGCTAACATCACCTGAGAATGTCATTAAGGGGCGGGTGGGCGGAGGAAGTGGGAGACGGATCGGATGTCGATTAGATGTCTTTTGCTGTAGCTGATGGCTGCTTGCTTGAGGCATTGGATGTAAACATTTGAGACCTTAAAGGGAAGCCACTTCCATAACGGGGGCAGCGCTGTGTCTTCAGAAGCGAGTCGTCATCTCAGCAGCAGTTTGGGGGGCTTGAGTGCGGATTCCTTATCCTTGTTCACTGGAAGAAAATGCCCACATAAGGAAAAGCAGGTTCCTCAGAGGTTCTTCTGAATTACAGTTCTTTTTAGGCATCCCCCCACCCCCCTTTACACAATACAACCACTGAGGCAGCAATTTGAAAGAAAAACTACTGGAGGGGTCAGGACTCCCTCCCCCCTCCTTGACCATTCCCCCTCAGTAGTGGGGGCAGATTTTTAATAGGAAAAGTTGACGAAAAGAAAGGTTTGGGAAGCTTCTTTCCCCTCAAATCACAGCCTCCACAGTTACATGTATAAAATGGCGGGAAACGCCTTCTCAAAATCACTGCCCTTTTATTAAGACCTCTACCCAAACGTTACAAAATCACTACAACTCGCGTTGTGGTCCTTCCCAGGTGCACCAGCAAGGGTGTTCATTCCTTCAGGACTGACACACAAGCCAAAAGCCCCTGTGTCTCACTTCTGGCTCATCAGGCCTACTTTTCCTGTCACGTGGATTCTTCTAGGCCCAGGTTTATCCAGCTGAGGACTCATCCACACATGGCCAAAAACTGTGCTCTTGTTGTACCATGGCAATCATTCGCAACCAGGTGGTCTTGGGCTGTGGCCACAGAAGGGTGAGAAAAGCCGCCACTGCTATGGAGTTAACAGCGGGTGTTGGGGAGGTGCACAGGGATGGTATCCACACACCATCCCTGCACTACTCGCTGGTGCCACCTCCCCACACCCTTCCTGCTAGTCAGGCTGGCGGCGCAGAAGCCAGACAAGAATCCTCCAAGCAGTCCAGCAAGCTCTGTCTCCCCCCACCCACCAAAGCTGAGCCACAGCTCAGTTAAAGGGCTGATGGGGAGGTGATGTGGGAGCTAAGCAATGCCATTGTGAAGGTGAAGTTCCACCCTCTGGTCCTGCTGTCAGCCAGAGGTTCTGCCTGTAGCTTGTGTGCCATTTTCCCCTTTAAGTTGGAGCAAAGGAGGTCTTCCTCTGATCTGGCTTGAAAGGGAAAGCCCTGGGACAAGCCAGACTAAAATATATATATGTATACCTGAGGCAAAAAAGGCCATGAAGACATTCAAGAAACACAGAGCTCCCCTGAGGTATACGCAAGCTAGAATCTGAACACAGTCGCCCTCAGACAGAAACTTGTATAGCTTTTCCACAAGTCCGCTCCTAAGCCAGCACACAGCTCTGAATGAAACCCACAACAGCTGCCCATGAAAATGGCAGCAACATTTGACACCTGGATGCGGTGTGTGTGTGTGTGTCCAACCATTTGATCTGTGCCATCTCTCTCCACATGGTTTTAAAAGCAGACAGCTACTTCCCCCAAATATATTACATTAAAAAACAAACAAGCCCTAAGGTTCTTTGCAGCTTCGGCATTGCCTCCATTGGAATTCCATACCTGAGGATCAAAACTGCAAGGTTCAAATGCAAAGGAGCACTATTTGATGGTTGCCAGCTGTTTATCCGAGAACAGCTCTAAGTCCCGTGGCGGTGCCCCATTCTGGGACCAATCACATCGCTTCTGAGACCAGCCCTGCAATCAGTTCCCGTGTGTCCTTCATGCCAGAAGTGATTTCGGAGCCGTCTTCAGCCACGTGTGTGGCGATCAGGAACATCTTCCTCTCGTCCCCGATGTCAGACAACGCCAATGCCTCGTGAATGTCTGTGATGCAGTATGCACCTTCGAGATCCTGTCCAAGAGAAAACAGAAGAGCCACATCAACCATAGAATCATAGAGTTGGAAGGGGCCATACAGGCCATGTAGTCCAGCCCCCTGTTTAATGCAGGATGAGCCCAGAGCGTTCCTGACAAGTGTTTGTCCAGCCGTGGCTTAAAGACTGCCAGTGAGGGGGAGCTCACCACCTCCCTAGGCTGCTGATTCCACTGTTGCATAACTCTTACAGTTTTATTTTTCTTCAAAAGGAATGTCAGCCTGTCTGGAGTAGCACCAGCAAAGGCTGACCATTAAAATGGAATATACTTTTTTTTAAAAAAAGTAATGTCACACTACAAGCCACACGTACAATGAATTTATTAAAAAGGTCATTCATTGGTTACATTAATTGATTTAAGACTTTTCAATCAGCAAATTTTTAAAGCTGTTTACTAAAGTGGTAGCTGGTGAACACCATTTTGGGGGAAAAGCATTCCCTTTCAAATGAACGAACAAGCTCATCTGAGAAGCAGTTATTGTACAGCATTTTAATCCATCTTTTTCTGGGGGCCTCAAGGCAGATTACAAGACGCCAGTCAAAACCGCAATAAGTAAAAATTTTATTGGCAGGGGCCAACCAAGAAGAAGAAGAGATTTGATTTATACCCCGCCCTTCACTTGGGAGTCCCAGAGCGGTTTACAATCTCCCATTCCACTCTCCACAACAGACACCCTGTGAGGTAGGTGAGGCTGAGGGAGCTCTTTTGAGAACTGCTCTTGAGAGAACAGCTCTGAGAGAACTTGTGGCTGGCCCAAGGTCAACCAGCTGGCTGCAAGCGGAGGAGTGGGGAATCAAACCTAGTTCTCCCAGATTAGAGTCTGTGCTCTGAAGCTACACCAAACTGGCTCTACCACCCTGTTGTATAAAAATGTAGTGTATGGGTGCGGTCAGGCGTGCTGAGAGTGGGTTAAACTGCTCCGGTTCTAACCGGATTATATTTTATCTGGATAATCGCGATCACACTTACCTCCCTTATCCCGCCTAACTGCGCAGTCACATCGCTCCCCGGCGTCTACACTACTGATGAGCGGAAGCGTGTGTCGCCGGGTTTTAAAAAATTTTTCTCCGTTTGCGCATGCGCATAGGCGCCCCTCCGTCGAATGGGGGGGCAAAACTATCATGGCGCAGAACCACCAGGGCAAATCAATCCAACCCCTCCAACAAAAGACTTCCCTTTAAAGGTTTGACCCGAAAATGGCTTCCGTGAGATCCCGAACTCATCTAAACTCTAAAACAAATGACCACTTGAATGTCAGTTTTCTAAACGCGTTGGCGGAGCTCTGCCTATGTGCACAACGCCAACGCATTAAAAAATGGCGGGTGAAAAGCGGAAGCCTCGGGCAGCTTTTGAGCGGGGAGGGGGTTTAAACCGGAGGTGGCTTGACACCAGAGGAACGATCACACAGGGGGGAAATGCGGCTTTAAACGGGAGAGCTGAGAAAACACCACTATGGGACCTGGTAACAAAATACTCCGGGTTAAAGCGGTTTTGAGCTGGAAACCAACGGCTGGGGACGCGAGGCAGATGTTGACTGTGTGATCGTGCATATAAAATCCGTTTCTGAAGCGTGACGACACCAGATCAAACGGCGCGTCTGAACGCACCCTATAAGTAGCTAAGTTTCTCTTCTCCGTAATGAAAATAGAGGCCGAGATAATGCCTTGTGCATAATTCACCACAATTCTAACTGTCATGCTCGGGGTTGCCCCCCAGGCCCTTGGAATCCAGTCGCTGTGTTGGGGGAAGGCTTAAGAAGGAAACAAATGCCTCAGGTGTGGAAGGGCTGGGTGTTGCGTCACGCCCCAGGCACCTTCCTCAGAACGATCGCCTCTCCTGCTTCTCTCTGTTCCGGCTGGGCGATCGTCTCTGAAATCCTCCCCGGCATTCTTCCGCTTCCTTCCTTTTATCTGCAGTCCCCTCCTTTGGTGACACACCCCTTTCTGTTATTCCTGAGCCTACTGCCGCTTCCACCTGTCCCTCACCGTGTCCCCCACTCCCTTGGTGCTTCCCCTTTTGGTCCCGCCTCCCTGTATATCCCCGTGTCTCTAGCCTTGAGCGGGGATGTGCAGGGGAGTGCCTACTTCCGGTCAGGACGAAGGGACCAATGCCCGCTACTTTGGCGTCTTCAATTCTGAGGGGTAAGGATGGGAGCCTCCAACTGGCTCTTCCTCTCGATCGGGCCCGCCCCCCCGAGTCAGTGGCCGAGGAACGGTGTCCGTGTCAGCCCCGTCCTCCAGCCCCTTCTCTTCCTGGTTTCCCCTGCGTTTCTGTGGTCGCGGAGGGAGGTTGTTGGAGTCTCGTGAGTCTCCTGGACCTCCCATGCCCCGGGGTCTGTCGCCTCCATCGTCTGCTGACCCTGCCACCCTGGGAGGTCTGTCGCCTGGGGTACGTGGGGAGCCTGGCGCGGGCGGCGCCAGTCCCACCGCGGGCATACGCAAAGACATTCTTTAGGTGTTCAGTTAAGTGTCCTGACCTGGATGGCCCAGGCTAGCCTGATCTTGTCAGATCTCAGGAGCTAAGTAGGGTCGGCCCCGGTCAGTATTTGGATGAAAAACCACCAAGGAAGCCCAGGGTTGCTATATAGAGGCAGGCAATGACAAACCACCTTTGTTACTCTTGCCTTGGAAACCCTATGGGGTTGCCATGAGTCGGCAGTAACTTAGTGGCACTTTATCCACAAGCATTTAATTACATCACATTGTTTATTTTCAGAATGGTTTGTGGGCCATAATAATGATTGATTGAGAATAAGTAAAATAAACCTTACACTAATCCATCACTGAACACAGCACTAGCAACACAACCACCTTCTATAATAAAAATGCCCTTTCAAACAATACTGTTGTGACACACCTCATACGACGACGGGGTGGGAGGCACTCCTGACCTCCTCAGGTAAGCTATGTCACAAAACAGGGGCCACCACGGAGAATGACTGGGAATGGGCAATTGAAGCCTGTTTGCAGGGTGTTACTTTCAGAAGACCTGGCTTTGATGCCCTGACCTGGATAACCCAGGCAAGCCTGCTTTTTGTCAGATCTCGGAAGCTAAGCAGGGCCGACCCTGGCAAGTACTTGGAAGGGAGACCTCTAAGGAATACCAGGGCCGGGATGCAGAGGCAGACAATATCAAGCCACCTCTCTGAAATGTCCAAGCCCCACTAGGGGTCGCCAGAAGTCAACCATAACTTCTAGGCATAGAAGAAGTTTATTATAACAGTCATAGACCAGATAAAAATAGTTTTACACATTGCGAAGGATAAAATACAAATCTGCCTTAAATATACTACTAAAATAAACACTGTTGAATATATCATTTACTCTATCTCAATAAGTTTGAACTGAACATTTAAATTTATGGCTTGCATTTAAACATAAATACTTCTGTGGCTGCTATGGTATTTTCTTTTTCTATGTGAACATGTACAAGTTGAATGGAACAGCAGTACTGTTGTACACACTGCTTATGAAACACTTTGTACTCTGCCACTGACTAACAGTCAGTCTAACTTAGTAGGTGCACTTAACACTTCCATGGTGCATATGTTAAGTGCCTTTGATGATTCTAATCTCTGAAATCAATCATGAACATATACGCAGATATTCACTTTGGTTCATTGCTTAAACGCATTCTGGGTAAAATACTAAATGCTGACAGGCAATCATACTGCTTGTGACTTTGCTTGTTCTTGCCAACTATAACTGTGCATATTCCTGATGTCAGTTAGCCTACGTTAGATGAAGAACATGCTGCATGGTGTACCCATATCTGTTACATTAAGATACTTTTTGTTAACTTCACAGCCTGAAAAGAAAAGTCTATTGTTTAGCTGTAGGAGGTACATTTTTGCCTGAGAAAATCAAACCCACAGGTTGGGACCCAATCAGAATGGTGCAACGGATATGTGACAAAGTTTGATGGAACCAATAATTATGTTTTATTTGCAAAGCGTCATACTGGGTTTAAAACGTGATGTCTCCCATTGTAACCTTAGAGAGAGCTGTGGATATTCAAGGATTCAAAACCTTGTTGTGCCTGTACTTTTCCTCCTTTATTAATAAAGTTTTAGCTTGGATACTGCACTACAGGACTGCTGAGTGCTTTCTCAAATTGGGCTGGGGAAGCACAATCCGTGACAGAGTTTCTGTCCTCCAGTACTACTAATAATAGCATTAGTAATAAGCCACACTTCACTTATAAGGCATCCGGTTCTGATGGCATTTTGAAGGACTTATAAAATGAGAATTAAAAATTATAAATAGTAAGAACCCCTGTACATAAAGGTAAAAGAAGCTTAAAACAGCAATAAAGTGCATTTTAAAATTCTTAAGAGGCAAGCAATACAGTGCATTTAAAATTCTTAAGAAACAGGCACTTAACAGTTAGGTGATTGACATTTGACTTCCTGTGTTATTATAGATTTTCTAATTCTTAAAGCTAGCCATCCATATCTAGCCACTAGAAGTGTTACCTCTGAGTGTCTGTCCGCCAGGAGATTTTTCATAATATGAACTCTTTGCCTATTAGTGAGAGGCAAGGCCTTGGGGAGTGGAAGTGAGGGCTGCTGGGAGCAGGGGGCGGGACTCGTTGCATGTGCCCGCCCCCTGGGCTCCTTACTGCCGGAGCTCCACTCCTGTGCGCTCCCACAGAAAATGACCCCTGACCCTAATGCTTAAAAGTTCCTGATCTTGCTTGTTTAAAAGCTTGCAGGATGCTTGAAGTTTAGAGTTTCTCCAGTCGGTTACAAGTACAAGTTGGATTCTTCTCTCATTTTGTGTATTTCTGTCCTGCCTTTCCACCCTCCACAAGCCCTGTTTCAGATCTGTACTAACATCCAATGGTCTTAAGATCCGAGGCTGGCAAGCTGAGTGTGGCGCAGGGCTCGACCTGAGAAAAGGGAAGTCCGGATTCCAATCCCTGTTTTTCCACCAAACTCACTGGGGTATCCTTGAGCCTGTCCCTGAATTACCTTGAGCCTGTCCCTGAATTACAGAGATTTGTTATGAGGACAAAGTGGGACAAAACCCATAGTGGCCACCCAAGCTCTCCTTGTAGAAATAGCAGGATATGAATAAAATCATCTTCAGCAGAGATCCAAAAGCATTAACCTGATTTTTAGGGGTTGAAAGCTTTCAGCAGGGTCTGAGGAGCTATTTTGTTAACAGCAGCAAGCACAAGTCACACAGAGAACTGCGTGTGAAAAATTATGAGTTTGATGTCTGGGAAATCTCCTGAAAAGCCATCTGCACCTCTGACCCGTTTGAGTTTGCTGTAGGGTTCTATCTACCCAGGAAAGTGAGTATGAAAGACAGGGCTTTTTTTTTTTTTGTAGAGAGGGGGAAGAGATAAAGGAGGTCAATTCTTATTTAAAAAAAATATTTATAGAAGAATAAGAAGAGAAGAGAGGAAGAAGAGATTGGATTTATACCCCACCCTTCACTCAGAGTCTCAGAGCGGCTTCCAACTCCTTTCCCTTCCCCTCCCCACAACAGACACCTGTGTGGTAGGTGGGGCTGAGAGAGCTCTTTCCAGAGCTGGCCTTGAGAGAACAGCTCTGAGAGAACTTGTGACTGACCCAAGGTCACACCAGCAGCTGCTTGTGGAGGAGTGGGGAATCAAACCTGATTCTCCCAGATTAGAGTCCACACACTCAGCCACTATACGAAACTGGCTCACTACACCAAAAGAAGTTGGTTTTTATACCCCACTTTTCTCTACCTGAAGGAGTCTCAAAGCAACTTACAAATCTCCTTCCCTTCCTCTCCCCACAACAGACACCCTGTGAGGTAGGTGGGGCCGAGAGAGCTCTGAGAGAACTCTGACTTACCCAAGGTCACCCAGCAGGCTGCATGTGGAGGAGTGGGGAATCAAACCCGGTTCTCCAGATTAGAGTCCCGCCACTCTTAACCACTACACCACAGTCAGGGCCTCCATGACAGCAGTTTCCCAGAAGGCCTCCCCATCCCTAGGACCCAGTGCTTCAAATGTCTCTTCCCAACCCAATATATGCCTTACAGATTACAGCTGCCAGGGGAAAGGGGGGGAGACAGACAATATTATAGCTGTAGATTCTATGTTGGCTGGAGGCTGGACTAGATGACTCTGGTGGTCCCTTCCAACTCCCAGATTAAATAACAAAGTAAAGTCAATAAAAAGATGTTCACTGAACATGGTACACAGAGCTTCACTCCAGATTGCCAGATGTACCAAACTACTTTTAGGCGACTGGCTGTCAATCAGTTATGAACGTGCTGTTTGATACAGTGACCAAGATGCAGCAAAAAGCTGGAAAGACCAAAAGGCTGCTGTGTATCATCTTGGCTGTGGATGTAGGACTGATTCCCTTCCTGCTCAGTAATATTCAAAGATCAAGCACAAAAGTAAACCCATTAAGAAGTTCGTACCAGCAATGGAGAGGTACAACCAATGCTCCCTCTAAGCTGTGGAGTCTTGTGAGCAAAAATTCTACTTTGTGAGCTACTGGCATTAAAGTTGTGAGCGAGCGGTTTGGCTACCGCATAAATTGGTTTGCTCTGGAGCCATCCTCCCTGAGCTAAGGCAAAAATGTGTGAGCTGGAGGCTAAAAAACTGTGAGCTAGCTCATATTAACTCAGCTTAGAGGGAACATTGGGTACAACCTACAAAAGATCAGTTCAGGAACTGCTTCCTTAAGAACGGAGACACCTTCCCCTTTTCCCGTAACAAAAGCCAGACTTCTACCCTGAATTCCAGAGCACACAATTACCTGCTTGTTGGCCAGGATCATTACAGGTAAGGTCGAGTTATTCTGGACCAGCTGATGAAGCAGTTTCTTTGCCATGGGCAAGCGCTTGTGATCGGCTGAATCCACGACGTATATCAGCAAAAGGACTCGTGAGAGGTACATCTTCCAGTAGGACCGCAGAAACTCACTGCCCCCGACTGCAAGGAAGACAGTGAACTGGTTAAATTGTATGCTACGCTCCCACCCACCCCCAATCCCTTGACAGCATTCCTTCTCTGCTGGTACTCCAAGATAGCTGCTTTCAGACTGTGTTTCTAGGATCCTGCTGGGTCGATGGAAGCTGGTAACGCAGAGGGTTCCCATCTGTTTTCATCCTGCAGGAACCTTTGGCATTCTGACCAAGTGGGCACAGCCACAAAATGTGTCTGTCCCATTCCATACTGCTCTGGTAAATCCACCTTCCTGTCGCTTAAGCCCTTTTGATCTAGTCCTGACCCTGACGGCAGCAAAGAATGTCTTTCCTCTTCTGTGCCACAGCCTGTCAAGTATCTGAAAAATGCACTCCTGTTTTCCCTCATTCTTCTCTTTTTCAGGCTAAACGTAATGAGCTCCATCAACTTTTCCTCACGGGACCTGCTCTATGGGCCTGACCATCTTCATTACCCTCCTCTGAACCCACTGCAATTTGTCTCTACCTTTCTTACAAGTGTTACAGTAGCCAGAGAGATCACAGGATTGGTAAATGAAAAATAAAACTATAACAACCTTGATATAATTATGAAAAGTCAATTCAATTTTCCAAGGGTTTGATAAATATTCAGGGAACAAAAAAAAAAGGGGGGGGGGACACACAACCCTGAAACCTGGGAACCAGAACCTAAAAAGGTAAGTCAAACTTACCTTTTTAGGTTTTGATAAATATTCATACATTTCTGTGGAATCACATGGACTTACAGCTCCTTCAGAATAAGAATAATCCGATGACATATTCCTTTTTCTCTATTGCAGGAGACTGCCTGGTCCTCTTCCCCTCAAGCATCAATCAATGCAATAAAGTGCAATAGCCAATAAAATGTCCTTAGTGTCTTTCTTATTCTTATATCCAAGTACCACGAAAAGTTGCGATTGCACAGACAGGCTTGCTCAAACACCTGTTTCAATAAGCTTCCTCAGAGCAGAAATCATGCAGACGTCATAAATTCTCTTCTTAGTTTTTTGGCTGCATCTTCTCTCTCATAGACATGAACATTTTATTGGCTATTGCACTTTATTTGCATTGGAGGACCCTTGAAGCGAAGAGGACCAGGCAGTCTCCTGCAACAGAGGAGTATGACATTGGATTATTCTTATTGTGAAGGAGATGTATGTCCACGTGATGTCACAGAAATGTATTCATATTTATCAAACCGTTGAAAAACTGAATTGACTTTCCATAATTATATCACAGTTATTATTGTTTATTTTTCATTTCTTAAAAGTGTGGCACCCAGAATTTGACATGGTACTCCAGGTGTGAGGAACACCTTACAACAGGGGTCTCCCCACCTGGGGCCCATGGTGCCTCCTGACACCTTTCTTGGTGACCACTAAACATTTTTAGAAGGTGTGGGGCCAGGTGGGGCTCCTGCACTACAGGGCTTTTGATTTGCCATTGAAGATCTGATGAGCTAAGCTAATTAAAATAATATTGTTTCAATGGTAATGGCCACCGCGGTGTTGGTGTATTTTTAACTGACCTCCCTTCTCCCCTGCGCTTCAGCTTCCTCTGTGTGCGTGGCCCCACCTCCTGTGACATTCAGTTTGTGGTTGGCTCCGCCTCCCGGGGCAGCCATTTTGTGGTAGGCTCCAACTCCGGGGGCAGCCATTTTGTCACTGCGCCCACCATCCTGTGCCAGAATTCCAAAGGTGCCTGCAAGCTTGAAAAAACTGGGGGGGGCGAGTTAGCGGCTTTACCAGTTCAAACCTGCCTACCCATGATAAACAGCAACTGCTCATCACAGTCCATGCTGTCTGGAAGGCGACAAGTAGGTTCAGTCTTTATCACCCTTCTTTAAAAAATATCCCACAATCAGTAAAAGTACGCACCATTTCTTTGTGTACCCGAAGTGTTCCCTGAGAATGCTGAAATCCAACCTTGTTTGCAGGGGGCCCCGTTCCACTGCCCTCCTGATGGGCAAAGGACTACCCAGTTTGCTATTAGAAGAGAGGGAGGAGAGACAGAACACTTACTTTCTAGGAATTCCATCTGGGAGTCCTCTGTGCTGACGCAGACTGCATTGAAGCCCTCCGTGGGAGCCGTGCTGTGCTTCACTTGATTAGCTGTTAGTGAGTGGAGAATGCTGGTTTTCCCAGCTCCATCCAAACCCAGAACCAAGATCTGCTTGCTTTGGGGCTTTTCCTTCAACATACGAAGCAAAACAGCCACTCATGAAGACAGAACAAAGCCTGAGCTACAAACCTGCATGGAACAATTTTTATGCTTCTATCTGGCCTGCGGGGGGTGGAGGGCAAGCAATCATGTCTGTTCTAAGCCACTGTTCACCCATGTTTAATTCTGACTTGCTTCCCACCCATCCCAAGGATTCCAGATTACAAACAGTAACTTGTCATTATATTACCATCTTCTTGTAAGGAGAGCTACATGGACCCACCAGAGAATTTCACATTTCACACTGCATGCTTTTGTGGCAAGCAAACAAGTTTGGGTTTAAAAGAACACCCCTGGCCCCCCAAATCTTGGCACACCTGAAAAACTAGGGTCCATCAAAACTCACTTTTCTTGCTGCAAGAAATTAACACAATTACTTCTCTGAGTTCAGAACATCTAAATGCCATCTAAGAATATCTGTTTTGTCAGATGATTTATGCTATGCTATATAATAAATAAGGTCAATAAGATAAGATATGATGATAATATAGTATGGGAAAATGGTAGAATATTATCGAATAGTAGAATATTATCGAATGGTAGAATATTATCAAAAAAAATCCCACAATCAGTAAATGTACACACCATTTCTTTGTGTACCCGAAGTGTTCCCTGAGTATGCTGAAATCCAACCTTGTTTGCAGGGGGATCTTTTAAGTTACTAAGTTACTATGTCATATATATTTAAGCTATATATACACCAGTTTGGTGTAGTGGTTAAGTGTGCGGACTCTAATCTGGGAGAACCGGGTTTGATTCCCCACTCCTCCACTTGCACCTGCTGATGTGACCTTGGGTCAGTCACAAGCTCTGACACAGCTGTCCTTGAAAAAGAGCCGTTTCTGTCAAGAGTTCTCTCAGCCCCACCTACTTCACAGGGTGTCTGTTGTGGGGAGGGGAAGGGAAAGGAGTTTGTAAGCCGCTCTGAGACACCTTTGGGTAGTGAAGGGCGGGGTATAAATCCAATCTCTTCTTCTTCTTCTTCTTATGCCGTTACACCATATGTATCATGTTATATGTTTTTTAAACTATATTGCCATATACGTTTTTAATATACACAGGTATTCTGATAAAGGAATGTTCTCAATATCTGTCTAATTGCTCTTACATTATGGTTTTGGTAATTATATTACCTATGCTTTCTTCCCTGTTCCTTTTTTCTTTCTGTATCTCCTTAAAATTTAAAATAAAATTTATATTAAAATAAAAGAATATCTCTTTTTCAAAAAATATAAAACTGATTCTGATAAGCCGCCCTGAGCCCTACGGAGCCGCCCTGAGCCCTACGGGGGAGGACGTGGTATAAATTTGAATAAATAAATAAATAAATAAAAAGCCAGTCAATCCAGGACTTAAGTGCACTCTAGATAGAGATGTGAAGGCCCGGAAAAAAACCGGAAAAATTCAGAAAAAAAACGTTTTTTTTCCGTTTTTTTCCTGAAGCCTTTTTGGTTTTTTTCCGAAAAATTGGGAAAAGAAAAGAAAAAAAATTGATTATGGAACATTTTATTTTAACATTATGAATAAAATATTTTAAGACAAGGTGTTCAAATATTTTCCAAATCACTTCTTATATACACACACACACACACACATGGTATCAGATTGATCTAATTTCTGTGCACTGAGGACAATTAAGTCCTAGGTTACAAACTGAACTCTCCAATGCAAGAACAAGATGCATTTTTTCCTTTAGGAGGTGCGATTGTCAGAAGAAAATAAAAAAGTTTCAGTTTTGTTTTTGCATGTGGATGGGTATTCTGTTTGTAATAATTGTTTAGATACACTATATTTTTAATATGCTAGTTGTGATAATTTCATGCCAAGTAAAAATGTCCATAGTCATATTTTATGTTCCTAAAGTTATAGAATGACTTTCAATCTAGAAAAGACAAAAGAAATGCTAATGTGGCTTTTTTTTCAATTTTTCCGAAAATTTCCGTTTTTTCCCGAAAAAACCCGGGGTTTTTTCCGAGCTTCAAAATTTCCGGAAATTTTACATCTCTAACTCTAGAGAAAACTGCTTGGGGGGTTTGGAGTCATACTTTCTTGAGCTACACTGATCCTTCCAGGAGACAAAATGTCAGCTGGCTTATTACTGCCGATGGGGTGGATGCACATTACATTTCCCACGCATGGAAGGGGAGAGGCAGTGTGTGTCACTTCCCACTACAGACCCCCCCCCCAGTTCCAGAGGGTTCCTCTGCTCCACAGTGCCTCCCAGTGAGTCAGTTACTAAAACTATAGGTAAAAAAGGTAAAGGTTCCCTTGCTCGAAAGCCAGTCGAGTCCGACTCTAGGGTTGCGGTGCTCATCTCCGTTTCAAAGACGAAAAGCCAGCGCTGTCTGAAGACATTTCCATGGTCATGTGGCCGCCATGACTAAACACCAAGGCGCACGGAACGCTGTTCCCTTCCCACCAAAGTATATAAAACTATACTTACGGAGAAATCCTAAGTACATCTATACTGCACTTAGTATAGTATACTATACTAAGGATACATAAAGGTTTTTTTACTGAATTGCTTAAACATTTTAAATCCTGTTTTAATGTATGTGTGTGTGTGTGTGTGTGTTTTAATGATTTGATATTTGCTGCCTTGGGGACTCTATTTGGGCTGGAAAGGTGGCAGAGAAATGTTTTAAATAAATGCTCAGAAATAAATTTCATGTTACTCAGTGGGGCCTTCTCCAAGATAGGTGTCTTTAGGACTGTAGCCTTAATCTTGAGAATGCATTCTTTTAGGCGTGCGTGCGTATTGAGAGTTCCATAAAATTGCTTCCGACTTAGGGCGACCCTATGAATGAATGTCCTCCAAAATGTCCTGTCATTAACAGCCTTGCTCAGATCTTGCACACTGAGGGCCGTGGCTTCCTCGACGGAGTCCATCCACCTCCTGTTGGATCTTCCTCTTTTCCTGCAGCCCTTAACTTTTCCTAGCATTATTGTCTTTTCCAGTAACTGTCTTCTCAGAATGTGACCAAAGTACAATAGCCTCAGATTAGTCGTTTCAGCTCCTACGGAGAGTTCATCAGGCTTCTGATTCTGTTAGACGAGCTCCTTAATCCATTCCTAAGAACATGAGACACTGAAGCAAGAGGGACTAACCAGCAAGCAACTGCTAAAGAAACAGACAGCAATCCACAAAACCAAAATAGGACCCACGGTAAGTAGGAAATACCAAAAATCAGCAAATACCGTGCTACAGACGATGATAAAATATCTCAAATAATTTTTATATATTTTAATTTTATATTTTTACAGTTTATTCACCATATATTATTTATCATATAAGCCTTAATACATAGAATCATATATCAAAACATCTAAGTATTGTCTCTTAATATATTACAAAAGATATTGCACAACCCCTTTATTAATATCAGTCCTCCTTAATTATACAAAAGTTTTAAGAGGGACGACGGTAGCACGATATTTGCTGATTAAAGAAACAGACAGTGCAGAGTGGCTCATGCCAAAGTCTGTTCCGCGTTCAGACCACCTTGAGTTAATTCCTTCCAAGGTAAAACAAAGGCGGAAGAGCTTCTATTCTAATCTGCCTTTCCGCCCTGGCATTAATAGGATTCCACCCTACCGATGGTCGCCTAATCCGTCCCTGGCCTCAAAACACCGAAAGTCGCCAGAGGGAGACTCCCTGCTTTGGATGGGTCTGTACAGCAGAAGATGATGTGTGTGTCTTAGTCTAAGAGTGATCCAGGAGATAAGTAACAAAAGAACCAAATCCAAGGGACAGTTGCGAGTCTGCGGCATTAAAAATAAAAAGGAGTTTGGTAGTGCCAGATGATTTATTGTGGCACATATTTAGCAGGGGTGGGCAAATCCCGGGCAGGAGGTCGCCAGAACACCTAGAAATTTCACTGTGGAACCTAGCATTTTCAATTTTTTTTTTTTGGGGGTGGGGTAGAATTTCTTAGCAGTCCTCAAGGGAAGTACACTGGAATGTGTTCTGTTGTCTGGCACCCAAAGAAACGTGCAACAAGTTCTTGCCATGTCTTGTTTATATGTGACCATCAATTTGCACCGCTCAGCAGTGGAGGATGGATTCATTTCTGAACCTGCTGACTGCTGTAAGGGTTCCAATATTTAATTAAATGGAGCCCTTTAAAGCAATAATGACATTATGAGAAATAGGGGGGGGGGAACAGCTAGGTTAGGTTTTTGTTGGGTATGTATATACTAAAACATTGTTGTCATTGTTGTCATAGCATTAAGAACACAGAGAGAAACATTGTGAGAAACGGTGAAAAGAGGTTAGGATTGGGTTTTGTGGAGGCAGTAGTCAGGAAAAGTGGTCATTAAAACAGGACACCCCAAAAGGCTGAAAAATGAGCCTGGCGCCTAAATTTTGGGCTGGCTCCAAAGAAAACTAGGAGCTAATAGGAGCTGTTTCATTTGTTCCCCCTCCAGTGTGATATCTGCAACCCTTCCATTTACAACACTCCCCTGCTTGCTATGAAAGGCCAACGGAACAGTCTGAATGTACAAGAATACACAGACATAACGATGGTATCAAAAGTGGCACTTTTCTGAAAACAGTAAGAAAGTATTTCAGCCTACCAGGTCATTCTGCCACCAACCAGGAAATCACTCTGCTTATATTACTTATTTTTCATCACAAGAACTTGAAAAAGGAGGACGCAAAAGTGGAACTGCTGGATCTGACTTCATCAGGGGTTCTGCCACTCTCTCCAATGGTGTCAATCAAGATAATGGTTTACTACCAGTGCTAAATTAGCTTATCGTATTACCAGCCAAGCACAGAAATGTCTTGCATTTCATTGCCTTTCAACTCCACTGCTCATCATCTTTCTTTCTTTATGCAAATAGGTCTGCCAATCCTTCATGCATTTAAGGAATTGGCTCTAGTCCATGGAGTTATGCTATAATAAACCTATTAGTCTTTAAAGTGCAACACCACGACTTTGGGATGCCAGCTTCCAGGTGGAGCCTGGGGATCCTCCAGAATGACAGCTCATCTCGAGACTACAGAGATCAGTTCCCCTAGAAGAAATGGGTGATTTGGAGGGTGGACTCTGTGGCATTGTATCCTACTGAGGTCCCTGTCCTGCCCAGGTTTCACCTCGAAATCTCCAGGAGTTTCCCAACCTGGAGCGGCTGGTGGCCAAGGGGGACCTGGCAACCCTACCACCACTCCTGATAGTTAAAAAGAGCCGAGAGTTTGGAGAATTTAAAGTCTACAGTTTAAGGCTGTCCAATCAAGTGTGTGAGCCCACAGAGGGATTTACTAACTTGCTTTGCAACTAAGTCCACAAAAAGCTCATTAGTCTGTCTGCTCACATATGCCTGTTAATCATTCGGTGCACCTTATGGTCTTGGGGGGGGGGGGGGGGGGGGGGCGACCGATCATTTTCTAGTGAACAAATGCTTCTGCATCTGGTTACCAGCAAAAGGCTGGTACTTGCTACTGGTAACGAGATGAGTGGAAATTTATGACATAGGATTTCTCTTTGGCCTCTTGATGTATTCATTTCAACATTCAGCCCCATTGGGAGAGCCACATTTTTTTTTAACCTACCAGAAAAAAGTCACTAAAGCTGCAGGGAGACTCATCTACATGTTCAATGTGCACCACTGGGTCCAAGAAAGTAACTGCAGAGAAGCCAGATTTTCTTTGTAGCTTGAGTCCAGGGGTACCTTTAAGACCAACAAAGTTGAATTCTGGGTATAAGCTTTCGTGTGCACACACACTCCATATACCAGATTCATACCTGAAGAAGTGTGCATGCGCACGAAAGCTTATACCCAGAATAAAACTTTGTTGGTCTTAAAGGTGTCACTGGACTCAAACTTTGTTCTGGTGCTTCAGACCGACCCAGCTGTCCACCTGAATCTTTCTTCCTAGCTGTTTTGTTAGACGTACCGATTTCCGCAGGACTGACTTTCAAGGAAGGAAGTATGGGTTACTGTCAGGTAGCCTCACCCCATACCTATTTACTCAGATGCAAATCATACTGGATTAAACAAGGCTTATCTCTCAGGCGTGTTTACTTTGGATGACTTCCCTAAATATTACAGTGAGAGTTTCAAACTTCCATAATATCCAGAACATACATACTTCCTTTGTCTGCTATTTATCCATTTCCTCTTTCCCACAGGAGTGTAGCTAGTGAGTTACCTAAATATTCACCCAATAAAGTACAAGATACTTATTTTACCTTTCAACATCATGACTTGAAACCTCTTTGGGGTTGGGGAGGGGAATCACAGTTGGAAATCTTCTGCAGAATTGCAAAACTGACCCCGCTAAGGGTGTGTGTGTGTGTAAATAAACCTTTTTTTTAATCCTCCAGAAATTAAAACTCAGTGTATTCCTTATCTGCATGAGAACAACTGCCCAGTAGGGTTTTTATCACTTCTCCCTGCTCTCCCATAGCAACATGTACACTGAAAGCATGGGTGTCCGTGTGTCTTATATTGAATGGGAAAGTAAAAAGAACACATTAGACTGAAATCGACAAAAATGGCATCTTCTCGCTGGTGTCTTTGCTCCTGTACTACCAAAGAGAAATATTTAATGGAGTACATAGGACTTCTTTGCAGTTAATACTTCACTCAGTGAAACCTATGAGAGCTTTTTTTTTTTTTAAATTTCTACAGGGTCTATTTGATTCCCAGACAGGGTAAGAAAATATTTTTTATTCTATGCAAGGCTAGCAACTGGACAGGAAAACAACAGGCTTGCTAGTCTAAATGTCAAATACTCAAGACAGCCTATTTCGTGCAGTGGAAACCATCCTAAACTTTGGAATAAAAGTGTAAGGTGCCACTTTAAGTCTAATTCTAACAGCTGTTGAGGTGGCAAAGTAGCATCTCAGCTATACTACTTCAAACTGCAGGGGGGGAGCCTCACCTGATGGAATGTTGCCTGTGTTGGGGGGGGGGGGGGATACCCCTGATACCCATGCATAGAAAACCAGCATGTCAAGGAGAAGGCCAGGTTGGAACATTTTCCCTTACACACCAGCTTTTGCAGGAGACTTTTCTTAAAGGAGCTCAAGGCAGCATGCAAGTTTCTCTCCCCACCCTTTTATCCTAACATCCCTAGGAGGTAGGGTATGCTCTGCTATTAGTCCAAGGGCATGCCATCCGGTTCACAGTTATGTCGGGATTTAAACCTGCCTCTCTGGAGCCTGAGCCCGACACTCGAATCATTACACCACACTGGGCGGGAGAAAGAGCAATTAAAGAAGCCCCGCCTGCACTCTGTACACATCTCCCTTATAAATAATAGCCAAATGGTAGTGGCACTTCTCTAGAACATTCCACACGCTCCAAAATCAGTTCGCTCTCTGATCTGTCATTAAGAGGGTCTCCCTATCCACTGGCTGCTTTGCCTGAGTCCTGCCTCCAACATTCCTCTCTCCCCCATAGCCAGTCAGAACACAGAGGTTATTTGCATATGCAGCCTCATTGGCCTCTGCCTCGGAACACAGAGGTCGTTTGCATATGCGACTTGATTGGCTTTTGCCTCTAACATTCTAAACAGTCTTGCTGTTCTGAGGTAAAATGTGTCCAATCTCCAGGTGAGGGCTGGAGATCACTCAGAATTACAACTGCTTTCCAGATGGCAGAGATCAGTTCCCCTGGAGAAAATGGTGGTCTCTATATCCTTATATGCTGCTGAGGTGGCCCCCGTATGACAGCCAATGTGACGTAGCAGCGAGGGCAAGAGGCTGCAGGTGTGTGGGGGGTGGAAAGCTGAAGAGTGAAGGGGAAATAAAGGTAGGTTGACGATTGGCTGAGAAGGAGATAGGGTTGCCAACTCCAGGTGGAAAATTCCTGGAAATATGAGGGATGGAGCCTGGAGAGGGTGAGGTTTCAGGAGGCATGGGACCTTAGACAGGTACAAAGCTATAGACTCCACCCTCCAAACCAACTTTTCCCTTCTGGGGAACCATCGTTGCCAATCTCCAGGTGAGGGCTGGAGATAACTCAAAATTACAACTGTTCTTTAGGTAGCAGAGATCAGTTCCTCTGGAGAAAATGGTGGACTCAGTGCCATTACACCCTGCTGAGGTCGCCACAGCAAATTGACACTGAGTGTCCAAGGTCGGGGCACCCGCCCAGAACCTCTTTCTAGAGGCCGTTGTATTTATTTCCACAACAGGCCTTTTTCCTAGTTGACCATAAATGGAAACGAATATTCTATTGCCTATGAAGTGGGCTGCAGGTCGGAAATCTCAACCTAGAATAAAAGGCTTGCCAGTTTTTAAGGTGCTTCGGGAATCCCCTTTATTTTCACTGCAAGGGGGTCCAGTATGTGCAGGGGAGGGGGGAATCCACGTGTAGAGGAGGAAAGGGCAGGCAGCTATCTAAGTCTCTCCCGGAGCACTTTGGCCCACTTCGGGGGGGGGGGACCTAGACGCCCCCCGTTTCCCGCAAGCCCGAATGCGCCCATTCCCCACCCTGCATACCTGTCCCAGGGGCGGCTCCGCGCAGTCGAGGCGGGCGCGTTCCGGCGAGGGCTGCCGCAGTGGTCGGGAGCCGGGCGAACCTTTGGGGGCCCAGTAGCTCCTCCAGACGACGTAGGCAACCCCGCCGGTGACGGCCACGGCGGTGCCCACCAGCGCCAATTGCCGCAGGTTGCCCGCCATGGCCGAGGAGGAGGAGGAGGAGGAGAGGAGCGGTCAGGGCGCGCCCGGCAGCAACGCCGGAGCCGAACGCCGAGGCCAAGAAAGGGCAGGGCAAGGCAGGGCGGGAGCGGAGGCCAACCGCGGCCCCTAGAGCCCGGCCAGGCCCGCCTTCGCTCCGCCTCTGCTTCTTCCGGCGCGCATATCCGACCTCCTCGTTGCCAGACGCCAGATGTAGGTGCCGTCTGGCTGCTCGGCAGTCAGGCTCCGGTCTCCCAGGGACACCGCCTCCCGTGCAGAATTAGGATTGCCAGCTCTGCCTTGGGAAATACCTGGAGACTTTATGGGTGGAACCTGGAGAAGGGGGGATTCGGGGAGGGTGCACTTGCCATGGAGTCCACCCTACAAAGCAGCCGCTTATGGCGGGGAAACTGGTCTTGGTCATCTGGAGATCAACCAGCTGGTTTTTGGCCACTGTGGTGACACAGAGCCTTGGACTGGATGGGCCACTGGCCTGATCCAACATGGCTTCTCTTGTGTTCTTAAATTGCACTCCATAATCCCAGCTTCTTCTTCCAATAAAAGGGCATGATCTGCTGTTCCATCAACATCATTAGAACATCAACAGTTTCCTTGGAATTAGGAGGAAAACAAAAGGTAGAGGTTCTTAACTAATGGCTGGAGATCTCCAGGTGCCACCTGGAGGTTGGCAACCCTATGAAAAAACACGAATAAGAACCCGGCGCCTAGCGAACTTTATCACAGCTTCTGCTTTTGTGCGTCCAGAGAAGCGTTTCTTTATGGCTGCCGGCGGACTTCGCTGGCTGCCCTTCGGTGATTCCCGGGCAAAACGCCTCTTTCCGCTCGGCGCAGGCAAGGAGGCAAACCAGCGTCTCAGCTTATGGCGCTTCCGGAACTCCGTCGTGCGTAGTAACGCGCGCTGCCCAGAATCTCCGCCTGCGCGCTGAGCCGTGCGTTAAAGGGATCACCCCACTGGGCAGTCCTCGTCTTGGGACCGAAGCCTCTTCGAAGTAAAAGGTAAAGGTTCCCTTGCTCGAAAGCCAGTCGAGTCCGACTCTAGGGTTGCGGTGCTCATCTCCGTTTCAAAGCTGAAGAGCCAGCGCTGTCCGAAGACGTTTCCGTGGTCATGTGGCCGGCATGACTAAACACCACCGAAGTGATACCTATTTATCTACTTTCAATTTCTTGCTTTTGAACTGCTAGGTTGGCAGGAGCTGGAACTAGAGACGGGAGCTCACTCCATCATGCGGCACACTCGGGTCTCGAACTGCTGAGCTACTGACCTTCCACAGCTTGCAGTTCAGCATCTTAACCACTCAAGCCAGTGCAGCTCCTCTCTTCGAAGTACATTGACGTTAATGGGCCCAGGAGAGAGCCGTCTCAGGCCCGTAGGGAGGCAAGATGGCTGTCGGGAGGACCCCGCTCTGGAGCTTTCCCCTATGAGATACAGACTGGGAAGGAAGCTTGGAGCGGCGCCCTTTTCCAGGCGCGCAGGCCCCGAAACGTCAGGTATTTTCTGAGCCAGGGTTGGCAACTGTAGACCTAGAAGAATCTAAACTCGGTTTAGGATTGCACTATATTAAGAAAAAGTTATGAGGGCTATGGAGGTATATTCGTGGAGGTGTAGGGCAAGGACATTAACCCAGCAGGTAGGCTACTGCTCTCCTGCAAAAGGAAGACTCAAAAACATACAGATAGCATGTCAGGGTTAGGAGAGAGCTCCCTGAGGTGCTGTGTTTCTGCTTGCAGGGAAGGAAGAATGTTTAATCGTATCATATGAACTGGCCGTCTGAAGTTGCAGAGGCCAGACACGGGAAGTGTGATGAGAGTCAACCGACTGGAAATCTATCCAGTCCCTCTTCCCCTTTTAATTGGCACAAACAGCTGCTTGAGCCATTTTTGTCATCTTAGTGGCCTCTGTGTAGGTGCTATTTACTTGGGGGGGGGGGGAGATATATGTATGTATGTTTTCTAGGGTGGGGCCAAGCATAAATTTAGTAAGCTGCATTTTAGGCTTAACCTCTGTATTAGAAAAGTTTACTGAAGTTTCCTGTTAGGCCAGTACACATTTTTGGTAATGCTAGGGGGCTTCTTAAACTGGATAGAGTTTAGGACCTCAGCATGACTTCATCATGCCCTGGGTGGGACAAAGAGCATCCACAGAAGGAGCTTTCCCCCAATGTGACAAAAATCTTCCACACAGACACATGGGCTGCTTTTGCCTTCCAAGAAATCTTCCTGAATCACATCTAGCTTTACCTTCAGTGAAGCCTGTATGTGTCGTCTTTGTCAGACTGTAAACCAAAGTGCATGCTGCTCCTCTTGGTTAAGTTTTTATTCTGCCCTTCCTTCAAGGACTGTGATGATTTATCCTCCCGAGTGTTCCCTCTAAGCTGAGTTAGTGTGAGCTAGCTCACAGTTTTTTAGCCTCCGGCTCACAGATTTTGTCTTCGCCCAGGAAGGCCGGCTCCAGAGCAAACTGATTTATGCAGTCACCAAATCGCTCGCTCACAACTTTAAGGCCTGTAGCTCACAAAGTAGAATTTTTGCTCGCAAGACTCTACAGCTTAGAGGGAAGTATCCTCCCGACAACCCTGAGAGGTAGGCTAGGCTGAGTGACTGACCTGAGATCACCTGGCAAGCTTCATGGCTGAGGGAGGGTGGTGAGGGAGAGTGGTTACCTAAACTCACAGCAGTCCCCTTGAGGACAGTGGAAGGCCCACCACCACAAAGAAAAGATCAAGATGGGTAACTGTGTTAGTCTGTAGCAGTAGAAAAGAGCAAGAGTCCAGTTAGTAGCACCTTAAAGACTAACAAAATCTGTGGCAGGGGATGAGCTTTAATGGCTCGCTGGCACAAATTTTGTTAAGTCTTTAAAGTGCTACTGGACTCTTGCTCTTTTCTACCGCACAGGGTCAGGGAACCAAGTGAATAATGGAAATATCATACTTTACTCCCCCCGCCCCCATTTTTAGTGTTAAATGCTTCACACACCTCACAACAGCCCTGATAAGGGAAGCCAGTCTTATGTTGCAGGTAGGGAGTCTAAGACTGCCTAAGGGAATTCAGGGCCTTCCCAGGTCATGGTTCTCCTCTCCCCACCACAAACGTTTATGCCACATTCAATTTGTCATAGCCAGCTGTACACCCCTCACATATGAGAGTGAAGTCAAATCTGGTTTTGATAAGGCTCCACTGCTAGCATGCATGTATTAGACTGGGACAGATTCTCTGAAAGAACTTGAAAACTAAGACAAAGGAACTAAGGGAGCCACTGTGGTGGTTAGTGGTTAGAGAGTGTCAGAACATAAGAACAGAAGAGAAGCCAATGTTGGATCAGGCCAATGGCCCATCCAGTCCAACACACTTTGTCACACAGTGGCCAAAAATACCAGGTGCCATCAGGAGGTCCAGCAGTGGGGCCAGGACACTAGAAGCCCTCCCACTGTTGCCCCCACTCCCCCAGCACCAAGAATACAGAGCATCCCTTGCCCCAGCCTGAGAGTTCCTATCTATACCTGTTTTGAATCGATATATTTATCAGGCTGTTAGTCTTCATAAGGCTTGTGGGACTTCCACTAGTTTCCAAGAATTCACAAGTGCTTGGCGGCTATCTCAAGCTTGTCATTAGGGCCGCTTGCTTTTCCTCTTCTTACAGCATAAAGAAGACTGTTGGCTCAGTCCCCTTAAGATTGTATGCAGCAGGGTTTATATCCCACTTGTAATTGTATGTCTTTTAATATAAATATGCACTTTGTACTTTATTTACAGGAGGTGCAGTGGCTTGAGTGGTTAAGACGCTGAACTTGTAAGATCAGAAAAAGAAAAAAGCACCAGATAAGCCTCTCGGAGCATGAAGACATCAAGGTTAGTACTACATGGCAAGCCTGTTTTGAATCGATATATTTATCAAGTTGTTAGTCTTCATAAGGCTTGTGGGACTTCCACTAGTTTCCAAGAATTCACAAGTGCATGGTGGCTATCTCAAGCTTGTCATTAGGGTCGCTTGCCGCTTGTTTTTCCTCTTCTTACAGCATAAAGAAGACTGTTGGCTCAGTCCCCTTAAGACTGTAAGATCAGAAAAACAACACTATTCTCTAACAGCGGAAGATAAGCCCCTCGGAGCATGAAGACGTCAAGGTTAGTACTACATGGCAAGCCTGTTTTGAATCGATATATTTATCAGGCTGTTAGTCTTCATAAGGCTTGTGGGACTTCCACTAGTTTCCAAGAATTCACAAGTGCTTGGCGGCTATCTCAAGCTTGTCATTAGGGCCGCTTGCTTTTCCTCTTCTTACAGCATAAAGAAGACTGTTGGCTCAGTCCCCTTAAGATTGTATGCAGCAGGGTTTATATCCCACTTGTAATTGTATGTCTTTTAATATAAATATGCACTTTGTACTTTATTTACAGGAGGTGCAGTGGCTTGAGTGGTTAAGACGCTGAACTGCAGGCTGTGGAAGGTCAGTAGCTCAGCAGTTCGAGACCTGAGTGTGCCGCATGACGGAGTGAGCGCCAGTCTCTAGTTCCAGCTCCTGCCAACCTAGCAGTTCAAAAGCAAGAAATTGCAAGTAGATAAATAGGTACCACTTCGGTGGTAAGGGAACAGCGTTCCTTGCGCCTTGGTGTTTAGTCATGCCGGCCACATGACCACGGAAACATCTTCGGACAGCGCTGGCTCTTCGGCTTTGAAACGGAGATGAGCACCGCAACCCAAGAGTCGGACTCGACTGGCTTTCGAGCAAGGGAACCTTTACCTTTTTACTTTATTTGCACTTTACATGATAACTTATCTTCTATCACTATAAATATTTTTGCAAAAAACAGGTTTTGTTTATATTCTTCAAGGTTGCTTTTGTATGTTTGGTCGAGGCTGTTATTGGCAACCTTCTTGCTTGTTTGCCTTTTGGTTGAGGACAGCAGTGGGTACCTTCTTAGCTGGCACTCCCTTCTCCTCCCCCCCCGCCTTTCCTTTCCTGCTTATTGTGAGACAGCAATGCATATATTGTCTGTTTATTTGGCACCATTCTGATGTTATTTTAACTATTTTAACGCCTGGATTTTAAATTGTTGTTAACTGCCCTGAGAATTCAGAGAAGGGCGACATATAAATCCAATTATAAATAAATATGTCAATAAAATAAAAGCTGATAGCTCTATTTCCCCCCTAGTTCCATTGCATATGGTTATTTCAAAAATGCTATTTTCCAAACTCAGTTTTGTCATGTTTGTAATACAAAATTAAAACGGCACGTTACACTTCTTCATAAGAGATTGAGTCTTCAGCAACGTCTATTGCTTACAGGAATAAAATGTCTTATTTATTTACTGCTTTACTGTAGCACTTGTCCTCACTGCTCAAAGTAGTTTACAGTAAAAATACTAGTCCACGTTTATAAATCAAAGCAACAACAGGGTGTATTGTGAGATTTGTTGCTGGAGAGACTCTGATCATAGGATGTGACATTTCTCCCAAGCAGCTGTTGCCGTCCACATTTCGGGATGATAAGATGTGTTTTCACAGGTGGTTGTGGGAAAATTAATTTTTGTTTTAGCACGTCCAGTTCCAGCAACCGTTATCTTCACACGACTGCTTGCATGCACGTACTGAAGAGAACGCAGAACAAAGCCACCAGCATGCAGACAGGAAACCACCCCCTTTCTTGCAGTGAAAGCTGATTGTTACACCAATGCTTTTGTCATGCGCATATACACATGTACTCTCCCCTTTCGGATTCACTGCCTGTCCTTTGAGGCCTGCCCGTCAACTAGGATCATCAAAGCTTTGCCCCCCATTCTGTGGAGCAAGGTGAGTAACAGCCGAAGGAAATGGCTTTTTCAGCAGTGATGCCTCATTTATGGTGCACACTCTTCCTACCAATGTCTGCCTGGGGACCACCTTGTCCATTCAGCGGCAGGTGAAGACAATTCTATTTGTCCAGGCTTTGTCAGCTCCCCCCCCCCCCCATCCTGCCCAGTCCTTCCCAATGGAGATGCCAGGGATTGAACCTGGAACCTTCTGCACGCACAGCAGATGCTCTGCCTCCGAGACCCATAGCCTCTCTCCAAAGCTCAGGCCCTCTTGTGCCAGGGGAAGGCACTGCGGCTGGAGGAAACTGCCTCCGCTAGCAGAACGGCTCCTCCGGACCAATTCCAATGACTGGTGGACGAGTTACAAGAGGCAAAGTTCTTACTTTGATACTGAAATACCTTCCACCAGCGGTCAAGACCTGGATCGTTCGGCTGTGTACAGTCCCTCCGACAAGTGACATGAAGGAACTGCAAAGAGCTGAGTGCAAAAAGGAAGCGGGGGTGAGAGACATGCATACAGGCCAACCCGGCTTTTTGTTGTCCTTTATTCTGCTCTTGGTTTTCACAATGGGAGGGGAAATTAAAACGCAACAACCCACTTCCCATGATCACCAGCCTCCTTTCCCGCCTTTCTTTTTCTTCTGCTGCTGTTTCTTCTTGGTTCCTGCTGCGCCGACAGGCTTTTGGTGTCTCGGGGGTATCATGTTGCTTGTCGACGCGGAGGGGACTGCTGTGACGGTGCCGGGCCTCGGGGATGTAGGGGGGCTGCTGGCGGTCTTGCTGGCATCCCTGCGGACAAGGGGGCAATGGAAGAAACTCACTGCACAAAGGTGCCACAGGTTCTCCAATTGCCATTCAAACAGGGAGGGAAAAAAAAATCCTTCGAATCCTCTTACTCCATCCTAGGCATCCTTCTGTGTTACTGTTAACAGAGAAGAACCTGTTCCTCTAATAACAGTGGTCTTGGGCATTTTCAGACAAACCCCATATCGCCTTGCATGGCACCCACTGAGCTGCAATCATGTGACAGGAAGTCATGTGACATCACAGCTGGAGCCACCAAACAGGCAGATAAGAAGCCAGAATGATGCCCTCACGGGGGACAAGGGCAGGACAGACCATGAGAACCGGGGACAGGAAGCACAAACTATAGTGAGAACAAGTCAAGGGTCAGAACCGTGGAAGAATCTTCCCCTTCCCCTAGTGACCTTGCAGTGAGGCCTTTTAAATGGGCACGCAAAGAGAGGTGGGAGGGCTTGGCTTCCCTGCTTTCTACACATGCACACTAGCAACAGGTCCCTCCAAAGAGCAGCAGATTACTTCATTTGTACCCCAACTTTCTTCCGGAGAGGGACGCAAAGTAGCTTACATCATTCTCTCCTCCATTTTAGCCTCACAACCACCACCCCTGTGCGGTAGGTACATAAGGCTGAGAGTGCATGACTGGCCTGAGATCATCCAGCAAGCGTCCATAGAAGTTGTGAGGATTCAAACCTGGGACTCTCTCCCAGGTCCTATTCCCATACTATCCACCCCACCATCCCATCAGGTCCTAAGTCGGGCTGAAGATCACTGCTCTAATACGAGATGCATACAGCCCCTGCAGTCTAGTTTTACTGTTGAAAAGTCTCAGGACTGGGTCACCATTCAGTGGTATTCACTGAGATACACACATCCATAATCCATTCGGAAACTAGGCCTGTTTTGGATGTTTTTAATTTTGAGGATTTCCTCAATGGACCTGGCTTTGCAGAATTCATTTTGTACTTCTGCCCACAAACAGCGCAAAATATCGCGATTTCCTTAAGAGCCCACCAAACAATGGAATGGTATACGGAACAAAGTCTGGCCCGCGGCACGTGACTGGCTATAAGCAGGGCTCCCTCTTGTCCACTCCTTCATTGTGGGCTTCATTCACTCTCTGCCAGTCTCTGCTTGTTTCCCAAAGACTGTTGCACGACAGTTATCCAGCCACAGCTTCAGGATCCTTAACCCCCTGCCTTTCTTCTTTGATCCCCTGTTATTTGTCGGGGGTTATCAGGAGGACTGAAAATGCAGACCCAGTTATACTCACAGTTCAGAGGACGCTGCAGACGTCGCCCCTTGGGTCCCTTTCCCAATCTGATCCTTCTTCTTTCCCTTCTTCCTCCCCCGATAGTAGGAGCGCTCCCGCATCGGAAGCCAGCGCTCCGGGTCGGGAGCCACTTTAGGATCGTAGTTCTTTGGCAGTTTTCCTAAGACACATTCAGCACAGGAGAGTCACGTCTGCTTACCCTTAAACTGGTAAGTAAACAGCTGAGTGGCAGGAAAACTCTTTACGAGCCTGAAGCGCTGCCTGAGTGCCGCAGCAAGGGGCAGACACATTGCTGTAGGATCGCACAATGCTTTTAAAATTTCCTTCCAGCAACACAGATTTTTCTATTGCAATTAGCATTCTCTACCAGGGACTAAAATGCAGCCTTATACAGGCTTATTCATGAACCAGCAAAAGTTTTAGCACAGAAGTTTAACTGCATTTAAATCCAACAGAACACAGAAGCAGCCCTGCTGGACCAGATGCAAAAGCCCGTCGCCCTGTTTCCAGGATCAGAGCCAGATGCTGCTGGGAAGCCTGCCAGCAGGGGAGTGAAAGCAACCGCCCCTCTGCCTCACAGGCAGCTCACCCCAAAACACTGCAGAGCTGCTGGGGAGTTTCCAACTCCTGCTCTCAGTTGATTCTATTTGAACTCGCTGAATCTGTTTTGAAAACTCTATATGCTGGCAATTTGTAGGCCTCCTTCCCTCCACAAAGTCACTGCGCACCTCTCAGCTCTTCAATTAGCCAGACAGCCCGCAGCAATAAGGCACTCACCTTTCTTTTTCTTCTTCTTCTTCTTAACAACGTCTCCTTGGCTAGAAACAAAACAAAGATATGTGAGCTTGACTAAGATGCAACATAAAAAAGAGCCAATAAATGGTGGGGGGTGGTTGGCTTTTTGGGGTGGGTGGGAAGAGACATACTGGGATATATCCTGCCAATGCACAGATTTCACATATAATCCCAGAGAGATCCACGGGAACAAGGTACAATAAAAAAAAATACAAAAACCATGAACTTACAACTATGACAACTTTGAAACTTCAATATTTAATCATCTATCTCTACAACAGTACATATCTTAGTCACAATAAATAATTCATCATCATTATCAACCGTCCATTCTTAACTCTTCGTATGATGGATGAAAGTGCCTGCAAATGTTCTTTCCCAAGATTAAAGTGCTCGTGCTGTAGTAAACGGTCTTATGTCCTTTGTTCTTTCAAATCCAGTGATTGCGGATGGTTTGTGGACTATCTAATGCATCTGCGGTGGCTCAAGTGGTTAAGACACTGAACTGCAGGCTGTGGAAGGTCGGTAGTTCAGCAGTTCAAGACCCGGGTGCCACATGACGGAGTGAGCTCCCGTCTCTACTTCCAGCTCCTGCCAACCTAGTAGTTCGAAAGCAAGAAATTGCAAGTAGATAAATAGGTACCACTTCAGTGGGAAGGTAACAGCGTTCCGTGTGCCTTGGTGTTTAGTCATGCTGGCCACATGACCACGGAAAT